AATATAGGACATGTATTTAGTGTTATATTGATATGAATATATTCAGCTTGTCTTTATAATCATCACCTAATCTTATATAAACAGTTTAATGCTATTACACTGTAATGCTAATTCATATTTATCTGTATATAAATCTGAGTATAAATCAGAATATATCCGCAATATGTTTTGCTCACCCTGTGTGCTGCTGTCATTCAGCTGTTTATTTTCTTTTTTTGTAGAAACTCTGGAAACACATCAAACACAGTTATGAGCAGAAGGATGAAGAATAATGATGCATCTTGTGGAGCGTTCATTCTACCATCATCCCGTTTCCTGATGTGACCCTGTTGGATGATCCACTGGCTTTTGCAGCGTCCTCTGTGTGCCAAAGCATTTGCAATTTGCTCAAATCAATAAGAAATTCCAATCTGATGTGAACAAGAGGCTAATTGTTCAGAGATCTGAACTTATTGTTTCGGGAAAAAAAAGTTTCATTCGAGAATTGAGCCAAAGCAATTGAGAAAAACTGTAAACCACAAATCAACATCAGCTGTATTTCAAAGATGGACCTCTTTCCCTACCGCCGAGCATAACCATGTCAGTGTGGGAAAATCATCACAAAATGGACATTGTAGATATTTGATAGGTTTTATAGTTTGTTATCAGTGGATGTAAAATGAACTAGAGTTAAAGACAACATGAAATTGCATTCGCACTGCATTTAACTTCTGCATGTAACGTGAAACAAAGTGAAACAGTGGGAAATAAAATCGGATGGAACTTAATCTGATGAGAAGCAAACATTTACAAATAAATTGTTTAGATAGATAGATAGATAGATAGACAGATAGATAGATAGATAGATAGATAGATAGATAGTCGTCAGTCATGGCCTAATGGTTAGAGTCAGACTTGTAACCCAAAGGGTGCGGGTTTGGGTCTCGATGCCGGCAGAGAAATGACCAGCGTTCGCTTTCCTTTCCTTTTAGATGAATATAGATATTTTTTCCACATAAGTCATTATCCAAGGAATATTTTGTTTTCTTATTTTATTTAAAATAATTTAAATTATTTAACCCATTATCCAATTTAATATATATTTTATTTAATTTAACATAACTCATTATCTGATGAAAAGCAAACATTTAAAAACATTATTTATTTATTTTCTTATTTTATTTATCCCATACTACACATTATCCGATTTAATATAAATTATATTTTACTCCACATAACCCATTATCCAATGAAAAGCAGAAATTGAAAAAATATTTTTTTTTATTTTATGTAGGCTACTTTATTCCTATATTTTGTATTTATTATTTTCTTATTTTATTTATCCCACATAACCCATTATCCAATGAAAAGCAAAATATAAAATATTGTTTAAATATCTTTGAATGTTATTTTATTTTGTCAACATAATTTATTATCCGATGAAAAGCAAAAAAAATTAATTTTTTTATTTATTTTATTTTGTATTTCATTCCACAACAAATTGTCCAATGAAGAGCACACATTTGAAAATAAATATTAAATGTTTTATTTTATTATACAGAAGGTGAAACAAAGTTCAGTGGGAAATAATACAGCACAGGACTTTAATTGGGTGAGACATGTTAAGTTATGATGTTAACTTAGGTTGCATGAACAGAACAGACAAATCATGTCAGATATGGACAAGTTATAAAGACTGAATCGATCTTTAAATCAGCTCTTGATCATTCCACTGTGTCTCTACATCACTGCTTATGTTTGGAATAGCATACCACGCGTATATGTTTACAGTATGTTCAGATACTGTATCAGACACACCACTGCTAGTGTGACAAATGAACCAGTATCAATCTCAAGCCTTTTTAAAAAACGGTATATATACAAAGATATAACATGCAACACAGTGAGGTCATGTAATAATAATGTAACACACTACTAGTTAAAACATTATCACTGCATATTGCATACTGTTTTATGTTTGACATGTTGACTATATTTCTGACACACATGGACTATTTTCATACTGGCAATGAAGATATATTTTTTTAATGTATTTCAGGTTTTTGATCATGTAATTTTAAATGTTTATTAACAGATGAGTTCAACGCATTTTAGCACTGGATATTCTGTGATTATTTATGTAAATTAGTTATTTGTTTTGCTTATTTTAAATGTAAGTTTGAGTTTGAAAAAGAGTTTGGATGAAGTGTGCATGTGAATCTTTCAGTTTGAAATATGTACTGATTTTTTATGTAAATAATGAAATGTTTATATAATATATAGCGACAGTGCACTGCTCTCTCACCAGAAGGATTTTAGACACTTTTGCACAGTTTCTAAATGAATGCAATGGAGCATGGGAAATGTAGTCTAGGGTGATGTGTAACAGTCTGTTTAGCGTGAGAGTCCATGTGGAGAGCGGGTGACCTCTGGTGGTGAGTGAACGGAAGTTTATAGATTCGTGACATATATAAACATGTCTTTCATAAAAAAATGATGTTCATTACAAATGTTGACCTATTTGTTGTAGTTTGTCATTTTGATGTATAGTTATGTCATATACAGTCAAAAACGATCTTTTACAAATGCATGCATAATGTATAACCAGGTCTCATGCATGGAGGGAAAAGACTTTTTTATTAAAAAGTAGTCATTTAAAAATATTCTTGTTGCAAATGAGTAGCTTAAACACTGTGCTAGTTTGTTTTATGGTGTGATGATGTGTTTGCACACTATAATATTCTAACATGAACCTTTCAGTGCATTCAGTTTGATTATGCAAAAAGGATCATCATAAACACCCTCTTATAAAACATATCAGGAAGTGGCTTTATTTATTTGTTCCTGCCATGCTGCGTCTCTCAAGTACCCGAGCAAAACTATGAGGAAATGCGAGGGCTTGAGGCATTTATGTCTGAATAGCCTGTCGAGCTGGGTTTTTGGAGTTCTTACAAACTGAAAATGGAGTCAATATCTGTGGAAGAGCTTTCTTGTCCCGTGTGCTGTGAGATCTTCAGATCTCCTGTGTTTCTGTCATGCAGTCACAGCGTCTGTAAAGACTGTCTTCAACA